GATTAGTGCTAGCGGATTGAAGGGTAGGTCACAGAGTGAACAATTAAGCAGCATTGCTATATCAGTGGAGCTGCCCTTCGGATGAGACACTAAACCAAAGCCCTGTTGAAAGATTACAAAAAGCCTTTCGCTGGGATATCCAATTTTCAGAGAGAAAGCCTTGGTTCCGAACCTTGTGTTGTGCAAATTTTATTTAATCTAATCTTTACAGAGAATGAGGAATGATGAAATTATTACCCCCTTGATTTCTGCTTACAACAATTTACAGGATATTGCTGCATTCTCTGAATTTTTCCTTCACATCCACTTCATGGCCAACAAAACTTAATTTCAGTTGCGAAGTCTAATTTCCAAACTGTTTTATTTTCTGGACAAGAGATGTCATATTTGAATATTTGCAAAGGAAGCTTCCTGTCTGCCTTGACTGCAGGTATAGTTAGCTGTCTGGAACATGCTGCTTCTTATCATTGTAATATCTGTTGTAATACAACACAAAATTACATTTCTAAGACATCTTTCACGTCGGGAGGACATCCCAAGGCACTGGACTGGCAGGGATTGGGAACCGAGCCGGTGGGTTTGGGGTAAGGGAGGATGGAGGGCAGGGAGGCTGGCCGAAGGCACGGTCGAAGAGGAGGGCCATGAGATGTGCCTTGAAGGAGGCAAGGGAGGGAGCGAGGCGAAGGGAATGTGGGATGGAATTCCAAAGGGTGGGCAGAGAGGCTGAAGGCCCAACCGCTGATGGAGGTATTGCCTTGAAAGTATACAATCTCTGACAATCTTATGAATGAGTAGAGTGAGATGAACACAGAGATCAACAGAGTACCAAGATTTAAGAGTACGTTACATTGTCAGAGGCACCGTCCTTTAGTTGCATCGTTGAACGAAGGTCCCGTCTGCCTGTTCAGATGGACATTAAACTTCTCGTGGCGCTATTCGAAAAGGGAAGGGAGTTTCTCCTGACTTAATAATAATAATCCTTGCATTTGATATAGTGCCTTTCATATCAGAAGGAGTCTCAGAGCACTTAAGAGGATGTACTCTAAAATGGACTATGTATTTTGCACACAGTGATAATAATAATAACCCATGTATTTGAAATAGGGCCTTATCACATTGTCGAGACGTCTCAAAGTGCTTTACAGAATATACTGTAAAGTTAATTGACTGTAATATTTTGTGGGCGAAACGCAGCAGCCAATTGCACACAACAGTGACCCACAGACAGTTATGGATTGAAGTGAGCAAATTATTATTGTTATTGATGATTATTGATGTCCCTTAAACATGGGAAATGTCTGTGCCTCCAGGGAATAAATCCCTGCTCAGTGGTGAATCTCTAGACCTTGGCCAGTGAGCATATTGCATTCCCTACTAGGCTTTTATTGTAATGTATGGAACTCGGTGATGTGATGTGATGTGAAATGCGGGCGTTTACCACAAGCTGGGAATTACTCCACTTACACAGTGTCCAATTAGAGTGTTAACCTCCCATCAGACACTCAGATATGTGGATCGATGGAATGCTGTTAATGTCACAAGTGTAATGTCAACCAAACAGAACAGACCCGCCGTCCATAATGAATATCAATCCAGTGGATGCATCCCGCGAGACCCTTTGGAATGTCAGTCCACCACCTTACACACAGTTATCCTGCCTTCTATTCATCTCATTGTCGTTTGTGGGGCATGGCCGGTTCGGGTTTACCTGCTCACACAATAACATTTGTTTAGTCTCTAATTGCTTGCAGTTTCATTCTTGTGAAGTGCTTCGAAATGTTTCTCTTTTAAGTAGAATTGTTTGCCTTCCACCATCCTTGGCAGAGGCATCTCAAACCATATCTGCAACCCGAGATTTTATTTCCTGAAAGAAATTTATCTAATTTGCTTTTTAAAGAATCTACACTTTCTTCCACCATTTCTCTAGGGAGCCTGGTACTCGTTCATTGAAATGGTGTTTCCCCAGATTTGTTTTGAATTTACCCCCCTTTCAATGTAATCCAAATATCTCTGCAACAGGGAGGATAGGAGAGGAAGGCTGTGGCAATATGCCAGCTCTCTGACTGACTGAGTGGATCATTCTCCATGGTTTATAATAACAATAATCGTTGCATTTGATATAGTGCCTTATCACGTCTTTGAAACATCTCAAAGAGCTGCACAGAAAATACTGTAAAATGAATTGACTGTATACTTGGTACCAATTGAGCACAGCAATGTCCCTCAAACAGTCGTGGATTGAGTGATCAAATTTTTTTTAAGTAATTTTTACCCCTGGAAAAGCGATCCGCCAATCAACTAACAACTGGGTTCCTACTTACTGGTAGAAAAAACAGAGAGATGTGTTGTAAGGAAACTAGCCCAACATTTCGCCCTGCCCAGGAGTCGAAACCAGGTCCTTTCACCTGCGAGGCGAGTGCTCCAACCACTGAGCTACAGGATTCCACGCCCCGTATAGTGTTTAGTGAGAGAGCAACAAAAACTGGAATCATGTCTCATGCCTTTAATTGCCAGAAATCTGCTGAAGAGCTTTTTTGTTTGCGCTGCTGTTATCCCCTGGCTCTCACCATTCTCAGTGGCAGAGGCGAAGCAAACTCTGTGCTCATTCAGCATTCCCTCGCTCTCATAAGATAATAATGTGTTTCTAACAGCTTAAGCACTTTGCATTATTCAGGCCAGTGAATGGTTGAATGGGTAACTATTACACGCTTCATAATGCAAAGGTAAATGTTCTTTGAAGCTGTGTTTTTTCCAGAATGTCAGCACTGTTGGTTCAGATGAAGAAGATTCTTTGGCCCTTTTGATCTCAACCCTCCAGAAAATCCATCCTAACATCCCCAATCACACATCCAGTTACTTTTTAAATGAATCCCATTTTAGTCCTGGCTTCAACCACCCTTCCTGGTCACCCTATTCCAGTCATTAATTAACCTCTGGGTAAAGAAATACTTGCTGGTGTCTGTCCTGAAATTGCCCTCTAAACTTTGCAACTCTAAACCTTATTGTTCCACAGTCTCTTAAAATATTCCACAGGAGCATCTTAAAATATTGCTCTGGGTCGACTTTTTCAATCCCATTTGAAATGTTATACACCTCTATGACATCGTGGAGTCCTGTAGCTCAGTGGTTAGAGCACTCGCTTTGCAAGTGAGAGACCTGAGTTCAATTCCAGGCAGAGGGCGAAACCTTGGGCAAGTTTCCTTACTCCACACAGAGCCTAATAATAATCCCTCCAAAAACAAAAACAATAATAAATTGGTCATTTTCAATCTATGACTGTTTGTGGGACATTGCTGTGTGCAATTGGCTGTCGCGTTCGTCCACAAATATACAGTCAATTCACTTTACAGTCTATTCTGTGAAGCGCTTTGGGACGTCCTCCCGACGTGAAAAGCGCTATATCAAATGCAAGGATTATTATTATTATTATCCCCTCTCAATCATGTTCTATCAAGACTGAAGAGTCTTAGTTCTGCAATTCTGGAGTTCTGTAGCTCAGTGGTTAAAGCACTCGACTCACAAGCGAGAGGACCTAGGTTTGATTCCCAGCAGAGCAAAACGTTAGGCAAGTTTCCTTACTCCACACGCTTCTGTTTACCTCGCAGTAAGAAAGAACCCAATTGTTAGTCGATTGGCAGATCGCTTTTCTGGGGGTAATAATTCCTTCAAAGAAAAAAANCAATAATAATGAATTGGTCCCTTAATCCACGACTGTTTGTGGGACGCTGCTGTGCGCAATTGGCTGCCATGTTTCGCCCAAAAATATACAGTTAATTCACTTTACAGTCTATTCTGTGAAGCACTTTGAGACATCTCGAAACGTGATAAGGCGATGTATCAAATGCAAGGATTATTACTATTTATCAACTGAGCCCAAATTTCTGTCACCGACATAGGTGGTGGTGGGTGGGTAGGGAATGAGATGGCATGGTGCAGCCTCAATGACTGGCTCCACTGCACAGAGTGAATATGACAGGTGTGGATCATGCAGGTTCCTCTCCCCACGGGATGGTAAAAGCTTTTCCAAAGCGAACCGTGTCACAGCTGGAAACCCACGGCTCCCGTGGGTTTCCACTCACGGCTCCCAAATTAGATGTTAGTTTATTTCCCATCATAAGCGATCGGATGTGGAACGTGACGCATAAATCAGGCGGCGTGTTGCACCACAGCTGTGAAAACTCAACCTACAGGAGGTGAGGCGATTCGAGTTGCATTCAGTGTGTACTTTTTGTAAGATGAAAGTCTGTTATGTGCTTGAGGTGTACGATGTCGCAGCCAAAAAAACAGCAAATATCTCAAAGGAACTTTTTATAACGAGGGCCTGATTGGGACCTGGCTTGGCTTTTTCTGATGCCAACGGGGAAGAAGATTAGATTTACAAAAGGTTCAGCTTCATCTCTGGATTATTCAACAACAACAGCAACAACAACAACAATAACAACAATTTGCATTTTGTGTTGCAATGTGTATTGCGTCCCGAAGCTCTTATTCTGATGTAAGTCACTCGCCTACAAAATACGCAGTCTCCACACTTTACTGTGAAGTGCTTTGAACCATCTTTCCCACATGAAAAGGTGCAATACCTAATAATAATAATGATCCTTGCATTTGATACAGCGCCTTATCATGCCTTTGAGACTTCTCAAACTGTCTCACAGGATATACTGTGAAGTGAATTGACTGTATATTTTGTGGGCGAAACGCATATTAATAATTGTACTGATCCTTACATTTGGTGTGGGCGCCTTTCGGGTTGGGAAGACGTCTCAAAGCGCTTCACAGGATACACTGTAAAGCGGAGTGACAGTGTGCCTTGAGGGTGTACACGCTTGTTGTGATTGATCAAAGGATTTGAGGTGAAATCTGTGATGTTTTACAGCGCGCCCAGCTCGATACGGAGTATCGCACATTTCACCCTGTTGTCGTCGTCGTTGTTGTTTTTGTTGCAAGTTCTTGGTTTGTGCTAAAGTGCTGAGTATTGTGTGTTTCCTCTCTTGCAGAAGACACCACTTTCGAAGCTGGGATCAGAGTTCAGCTCCACACTCAGTCCGAACCTCCCTTTGTACACGAGCTGGGATTTGGGGTGGCACCTGGGTTCCAAACCTTCGTTTCCACTCAGGAACAACGGGTAATGGTTGCAATGTTTTCCTCTCCAAACCAGCGACACTCTTAACTCTTTACATTTAACCTTCAGTCCTCTTTAAGATCAGAAACGGGCACTTCTGCAGCACTGAGAAAGAAAGTAAACCCACAGCAATACTTTTCAGGTGTGCGAAGAGAGTAGAGCCAGTGGACTTGAGTTTAGAATTGCAAAGGTCAATGTCAGCCCAGTAAGTATTTTCTAAAGCCAGAAATTTGCTAACGAAGGGCCTCTTATTGTCACGGGACAACAGCAACAACTTGCATTTATATAGTGCCCTTCACTCGGGGTAGGGTCTCAGAGCGCTTGATAGTGACAGAGTCTGACACCGAGCCAGGGGGAGAGGGAAGTGGGGAGGTGACCGTAAGCACGGTTAAAAAGGAAAGTCTTTAGGTGGGATTTGAAAGTGGGGAGGGAAGGGGCAAGGCAGAGGGATTGAGGGAGAGAGAGGACACTGAAATAATAATAGTTCTAATCATAATAATCCATACATTAATGCATTTGTATGTCGGGAGGATGTCTCGAAGCATGTTACTGCAAAATGTAGTGACTGCTCATTTTGTGGGCGAATTACAGGAGCCGTAGCAATTAGATCACTCAGTCTGCAGTTGCATCACCACACAGAGAGACAAAAGCGGAAAAAAACATGCTAACCATTAACATAATGCAGCAACTGGCCACTTGATTCAATCCATTCTTTTAATTAAAGCGGTTTAATTGTCAAGATGAATCGATCTTGAACAAATCAATTTGCCAGTAAGTGAGCGCTGACTATCAACACCGCTTTCACACAGCATTTAACGGGGTAAGTCGGACTGAAATTCCCACTTTATAATGATAATGGTTTTGCTATCGAGTAGCTTCCTTTCTGCCTTGTTAACAAACTCGATGTAGAGCAGAGGAGAGACTCTGTCCAGTGCGGATGGGTTCTGATGTAGGGTTCTGATCTTTTATTGCCTATTAAGTATCGTCAAGACAGATCTGCCCTTTTTCTGGCAGGCATAGAACTCCAGGAAAAAGTAAAGAGCAAAAATGGAACGGACTTTAATGTTGACAGAGCGCCCATCAAGTAATATCAATGTGTTAGAACTCACAGCTGCTTGAAATCAAATGGCTGCTTGTGGGACACAACTGTGCGCATATTGGCTGGCATGTTCTTCCATATAGAATACACAGGCACTACACTTTAGGGTAAGAGTGGTTTGAGACATCCTCCTTAAGTGAAAGACATGATGTATCAAATGCAAGGAATCTTCTCATTTATTATTAGTAAGTTCTTCGAACAACTGTACTGGATGCCATTGAGCTCCACACGTCCTTTGAGTGTCAGAGACTTGGATAAATTTTGTACTAATACTAATCCTTGCATTTGATATAGAGCCTTATCACGTCATTGAGAGGTCTCAAAGCGCTTCACAGAATATATTGTAAAGTCGTGAATGTGTATTTGTGGGCGAAACGTGGAAGCCAATTGCGCACAGCAGTGTCACAGAAATAGTCGTGGATTGAGTGGCCAAACTATTTATTTATTTGAGGGATTATTACCCCCGTAAAAGCGATCCACCAATGGACTATCAACCTGGTTCCTACTTATTTCTAGGTAAACAGAGACATGAAAAGTAAGGAAACTTGCCTAAGGTTCTGCCCCGCCCAGGAATCGAACCTGATCCTCTCGCTTGCGAGGCAAGCGCTCTCATCACTATGCTACAGAACCCCAGATAGTGTGGCCTATTCCACAACACAAGCAGCTGGATAAACGTTTAAGATACACACAAAAATAAGGTTAGCAAACAGAATTGAAATGAGAAAGTAATGTTAAAAAGACAGGCAGAAATAATACCAAAGTCCAACCTAAAAACCTGGGCAGTGCTATGTCAACCCACCCTTGCCAGAGGCAATCCCAGCTGCTCACATCTCTCTTGAGCCTAGATTTCTGAATGATTTAGGAAAGCAATTCAATCCAATGCTATTTACATTCATACAACAATAACAACAAAATTACATTTCGCATCAGGTGGATGTCGTCTTAAAGAATTTCACACTGCTGACCAGGTGCCCAAGCAAGCTGGGGATTGGGAAGAGAAGAGGTTTGGGAGAGGGGGGCAAAGAATAAACCAAATGCCTTGGTACTTTGCCGTGTATCGGTATGACTTCATCATCCCAATGCAGACGGTGTCTGATGTGCAGATGAGAGACAGATGTTCAATGTTGGTCTATCATTTCTCTGCTTTAATCCCACATGAAAGAGACTTGCCCGATTGATAGATTTTTTTCTGTATAAATTAGATTTGTGTATAAATTTGAACCAACAATTCTTCTGGCGACATAAATCTGTTTCTGTGACTCTGTGATTGGACGCTTCAAAAGGAACCTTCAAAAAGAAGCAATTTAAAGGAAATGAACGCGGAAAGGATTTTAGCAATTTTTAAATGTAAAACCTTGAGGATTTGGAAATCTGGCTTTTTTGTGTTTGATTCTCTAGATCTGAAATCATTCCAGACACATAGTTTGAATAATCTAGATAAAGCATTGTTTTTTGTTTCATCAGCTGGCTGTCTGACACTTGCAGAATTCCAAACTAGGCTGATAGTATTGGGGCGTCCTCCCGACCGGAAAGCACTATACAAATGTAATTTGTTATTGTATGTGTATACATGGAGATTTCCTTGTGCCTGGAATGGAATGCACATTCTCTTTCTGGAGGGATGCACCCTGCTTACTTAATCGGGGGAGTATTGTGCACAGCTTGCGGGAACCAAGTTTTGGGGGCCCCAGTTTGTGTGTTGGGTTGACCATTAGAGAGTTTAACCAGCTAAACCCACTTACACTGCCATTGAAAGCAGTCTCTGGCAAGCTTCCCGCTACTTGTCCAGCTAGGACCGCCCTGCCCGTTAGGGCTTTGGCTTGCAGGGTTAGTAGGAGCTGAGTTGGAAGAATCTTTGCCTCCAGTAACCATTTTGCTTCTCCATATCCTGTAATGTTCAGTAGTTCTAAGGTTATAGGAGAATAAGAATCAAGTAAGATGAGGCCATGCAGTCGGTCAAGCCCTTTCCTTTGCACTACACTATGCAATGCGTAATATAATGTGTTCTTCCCAGTGGATTTAATGGAAAGTAAATTCCATTGGTTTTGTTTGTGTTGCCCCAGTGTTTGAAATGGAGCGGGTTTGACGATGGAAGTAATTTCAGGTGTAAATTCAATGAAATGCATTTTCTTCAATATCTAACCATAGGATTCTATTTATTCCCTATCCCACGTTGGACTCCACGGACTATCTATCATTTTAATGCAGAGGAATAGGATTTGGTAATAGTAATTTTGAGGAGAACAAATAATTTGATGACTTTGCACTTTGAAATCAGATAAGAAAGCTATTGGGAGCAGAGCCTGACATTAGCAAGTCATTACGCACAATGTATTTTGAGCATCACAGCAAGAATTTCACCCAATGTAATAGATCAATAATTCACAAGGGAATGGAATGAGTGCTAAATTATGGAGTCTTTTTTGGGAGCAGAATAATAATCCTCTCCACACACACACTCACACACTTGAGTGACCAAATTGTTATTATTATTTTTTAAAAGTTTTTTAAGGGATTATTACTCCTGGAAAAGTAATCCACCAATTGACTAACAACCAGGTTGCTATTTACTGTTAGGTAAACAGAGGAGTGTGGAGTAAGGAAACTTGCCCAATGTTTCGCACTGCCCCAGGAATCGAACCTGTAAGCAGGACTCAGTGCTCTAACCACTAAGCTACTATTTCTGTACCTTTAACTAGATATATTTGGACAAATTCCCAAAGTGAAAGGTGTCATACCAATGGATGTAAAGATTATTATTATTATTATAAATCGATATTCATCCAAAACTCTGCAGCTCGTGTACTCTTGCGCACGCTCCGTGACCCCATCACTCCCACCCTCGCCTGACTCCACTGGCTCCCCATCCCTCAGAGGATCGAATTCAAGATGCTCGTCCTCACTTTCAAGGCCATCCATGGCCTTGCCCCCTCCTACCTCTCTGACCTGCTGACTCCCTACCAACCTGCCCAGGTACTCTATAAATGTAATTTTTTTGTTGTTGTTTTCGTTGCTCTAGGAGATTACAACACAACATTGCTTCAACCTGGGGCTAATGATCACCATTTGAAGTGATGTGGGGGGAGGAAGGATAATTGGGGGTCGAACCTGTCGCCTAGGTTGTGTATGGGTTCGGAGAGGAGGAGGAGGTGAGAACCATGAGATTTTAGACGTTGATGAGAGCCAAAGAGTATGGCTTCGGTCTTGTCAACGTTCAGCTGAAGGAAACTTGTGCTCATCCAGCCCCTGAGGTCTGACAGGCAGCTGACAGAACATCAGGGAACTGGGGGTCACAAAGAGAGGTGGAAAAATAGAGTTGGGTGTTGTCTGCGTACATGTGGAAGTGTACCCCATGTCTGAGAATGACATCCCCAAGAGGGAGCAAGCAGATCAGAAAGAGGAGGGGGCAAAGGATGGATCCTTGGGGTATCCACAGGTAACTGGGTGAGAGCGGGAGGAAAAGCCATTTGTGCAGATGTACTGCTGGTGATTCGTGAGGTAGGACTCGAATCAGGCGAGTGCGGTCCCACTGAGGTGGATGACGGAGGAAAGGCGTTGGAGGAGGATGGCGTGATCGACTGTGTTGAACCCGGCGGAGAAGTCCAGGAGGACAAGGAGGCAGAGGGAGGTCTGGTCACAGATAGAGAGGATGTCGTTTGTGACTTTCACAAGCGCAGTCTCTATACTGTGGACAGGGCAGAAACTGGATTGGAGAGGTTTGAGGGAGTGGGAGGAGAGGTGTGCGCGAAGTTGATTGGCAACAACGCGTTCTAGGACTTTTGCGAGGAAGGGCAGGTTAGAGATAGGGCAGTAGTGGCTGGGGTTTGAGGGATCCAGGCAAGGTTTCTTGAGGAGGGGGGTGATGACAGGAGTTTTGAGGGGGGCAGGGACTAATCCGGAGGAG